GTTGTCCTAATATAGGGATCACAGCACCAAGCAGCGGTAAAAGAAAACCTCCAGATTGTTTTCTTAAGGCCGTGAATTTAGTTTTTAAGGCCAAGAGTTTGAAAATGTTCTTTTGTTTCTTGAGCTTCTTATACTGAGCGCCTGATAGTGGAATGTTACCCTTTAAAAGATTTAGAGACAGCTCACAGAGTGATTGAAGAAAATCCGTGGAGCAGTTCTTGAGAATATCCTTGCGCCTCGATGCCTTTGTGTTACACAAAGCCTTCAGCAGAGGCATGTTTCTTTTTAAACGGGCCGACATACTGTTTCAATTTTTCGTTTTTGGTACATAAACAACTGGCCACTGATTAGGTAGTGCTCCCGATCTAAGTCTGTAGATGTCTGGACAGCTGGGGGTCATGTCTACGATTAAATAACCGTGAGGTTCCGTTGTAGCGTCTTCAAAACTTTGTAGGAAAAATGATTTATTACCCGGGTGTATTTGTTGAGCAAGTATGTTCATCTGTAATCTGTCTCTGGGGTTTTTAAACAAGACCATATAATTAGTATTCAAACTAATGGTACGACTGTTTTTCCCCTGATGAAAAACATTTTGGGTAAGCATGATAACACTCATATTTCTGTGATGACGGTATTGGGTGAAAAGTCTGACTACTTCAGGATGCTCCGAGGCCTGAAATATAACATCGTCCAATATAATCAAATGACTTTGATCAGGAGGAAATAGAGATTCATCTTGAAATGATTCAGGCAAATCTTTGATGAACTTTATATTTTTATTATTTTCCTGCAGTTCAGCATACATGGGCTGGAAAGAAGTATAAATCCACACAATATTTTGAGGCATTACATGAATATAATTTTGCAATACATTCTTGACAAAAAAAGTTTTTCCGCACCCACTGGGGCCCACGACTAAACAAGAAAAAGGAACTCGTAGTCGGGGCTCAAAATCAATTTGACGGGGTGAAAACATTTTGTCTCAATACCCAAAAGGCAAAGTATTTCCTCCGTCTAGCAGACGTCTCTTATCAAACACAACTCGGAACTTTTTGGTGAATGACACATTTCTCAAAACGAAACCCTTTTTACTCTGTGCAATGTTGTGTTGCGGGGCCTGAAGACACCTCCCCCTCTCAGAGTTTTGAACGTAGCCTTCCACCAGATCTGTCAGACTGTCAAAGTTCACTCGTTCACAACATTCGTGCGTTTGTGTAATGCCTTTCACACGCATCACCACCTTTTTTTGATTTTTGGTCTGATAGGCATAACTTTTAGGGCCTGCTGAAACAAACTCTGCAATCGTGTCGCCCCCCAGTTCGTCTGTCAGATCCCCCAGATAAACCCCCATGGGCAGTGGAGTCTCACCCGGTCTCGTCACATATATGATACTGTCTGTGTCATAGTAGAAGACTCTGTGCTGTAATTTCTCCAATTCACTGTACAGTGATAAATGCTGCAATGAATATGTTATCTACCTTGTTGGGGGGAGAGTAGCATTTTTCACCGTAGCACCACTGAACAAGAGCCGTTCTGTCGTTGAGGAATGAGAAATACTTAACCTTATGTTTAGCTGAAAACAAGAGGTTAAGAAATTCTTCTGTTTTGGTCACAATCTTAGTCTGAGTCAGATTGCTTCTCTGGGCAAATTTACCCCAGAAACTGTTGAGACATAGTTTTGCCACTTGTCTTTTGGCTGGATTTGATTTGATTTTATCTGCATCCAGCAAGATGCCCTGCTTAGCATGATAGTCTGCCACATACTTTTGTCTGCTCTCATCATCTGTGGCCTCTGAAGGGTAGCCTGATGCTTCTTGTTTACCCTTCAAAAATGTGTGTATATAGTCTACAAAAATGCTGTCACTTTTCTTCTCAAAATGCCACACCTCTGTGATCTGAGTCATCTTGTAGCCCATGTCCAGGGCTTTGGTGAATTCTGTGGTCACCCAAACTCCTGTTAATGCTCTTTCCTCTTTGCTGTGCATGCAGGGCCCCTGTTGGTTGTTAAGCTCAGCGCATGTACGGCATAGGGTGAACACTAGCTTACCCCCCGCAGTTCGGTGGGGCAGGACAGGAAAGTAAAGACCCCTGGGGGGGTCTACTGTGGCTCTGATTAACCCAAAATAACTGCGAGGGTCTTTGAAATCTCGAAATATGAGCTGGGGGTGTCCAAGGGGATATAAGCCTGTACAGTTTACAAAAGGGTAGAGTGAAGTGAAGTCACAATAATGAACCAATTCATCTGCCGATGTCGTGTGCCTCAGCTTTACAGCACATGTCCTCCCTCCGTATAGAGCATCGCGGGGGGTCAATGGCTCTGGCGCTTTGTATTCCCTGAGGAAAGCCTGTAAATCTTGGTTGGATTTTTTCATCTCAACCCATGTATGCTCACGCATAACGATCACTTTGGCCCCGTGAATAGATTGTAGCTCATGCAGCTTTTCCTCACTAGCAGCATGGAGCTGCTCAAATGTGTCACCTGTCAAGGGGTTTTTCTCATGGCCCTTGTAGCAAGATGGACACCCGTGATAGAAGCAACCAAGAAATTCCCAGACAATCTTGCCCCCGGCTACTTCGGCGAAGCCATCCACGACAAAACGTCCCACTCGTTTTTCTCCTTCGTTCAACGCATGTTGAATAAATACACCTTCTGTTTGGGCTATCCACTCTAGCCACTGAACACCTGCGTCAGAGTACGTCTTGTTTTCATAGCGGTAGTCATCGGGTGGGGGTATTGCTAGGGTTTTGGGTGATAGAAAGTTGGTGGTAAAAACTTTCATACACGCAGAAGCTATGGTCGTACGACTAAAAGGATCAACTCCTGTCTCTGCGAGAAACCCTTTCCGAAATAAAGTGGCTCCCTGGGCAAGAATGTCCACATCGTTTTTACAGTAAAGCTGTGCCTGCTTTTGAAAGTCAAAAGTACCCGTGCGTACCGTCTCATACCATGTGAAAAAGTCACTTTTTTCATCAGTTGTCATGCGTTCAATCCCATAACAGTGTGCTGGGGGGTAAGGTCCGATATAACTCAGATTAGCCTTAGAGCTGAAACTGTGTGGGAAGTATCCCTTGATTTTATCTTCAAATCCCAAAGCTTTTGGCATTGCTGCTAAACGCATAGAGAGATAAGACAGGGAGTCTATGTACTTTTGCCCGAAATCCTGGTCAGTAAAATAAATCACTTTACTTCCCTGCATTATCAAAGAGGGTTTTAATCCTTGTTCTAACATTGCATTGATAATTAGATAGCTGTCAAAACCCTTAGCATTGTGAGCGATGAAGGTTGCATTTTTGAACTTTGGACGCCTAAAGTGTGTCAGAAACTGGAGTGCACAGTCGGTGCCCTCCGAGACCCAAATTTCACCCGTCAGGGTTTTTGTGCACACCAGGAAGGGGACATGTACACCATCTGCCCCCGCCATGGTTTCAAAATCATAAAACACAATGTTGTCATTGTGTTCTGTCTCTTTGGGCAACACTCTGATGTAACACAGATGTTTTTCACCATCGGCTGTAGAAGCAGAGGGTAATTTTTCCTTGCATGTCTTACATTTTTTCACCGCACACTTGTGTGTTTTATCTGCACTACTCTTGGGAGTGTAGTAGGAAAGTTGACAATCTACACACTTTTTGTGTAAATCGTAGTTACTGGCAATGTCTGATGATCTTTGTGTCTGTTTTTTATGTCGAGAGTGACAGCCAGCCGTACGACACGTTTTGTTAAAGTCTTTACAAAAGATGGGTTTAAACTCGTCCAGAGTACATGAGGGGTCAAGACAGACATAACAATGACCCGTACAGGAATGACTCCATTGAGAGCTGTAACCTGTGTAACAATGTTCGCAGACAAATGCAGAGCCTAAAAACCCCTTCAAGTTTTTAATCCCATAGTAGTGGTTTTTGAAGAGAAACAAAAACACAGTTTTGTCTCGTTTGGGACCCTCTGTCTGGCATTTACAGTGAGTACGATCTTCATCGCCTCTGAAAAATACCACAATCTTGCATTTTAAGCTGTCTTCGAATTTAACAATGTCGCTGAATGTCACAGCTGTCTGATCTGTCAAACCCACCATCCTCTGAATTTCTTTACCGCGTTCAAAACCTTTTTTATCAGTGAGGTTGTCGTGTAACAACAGTGCTAAATTAATAGCAAAACACAGCTGGTTGGACGGATTCTGTACCACGTACAGAAAACGCCTCTTCTTTTTAACTATCTCATTGTCCAACATTTTACTAGCCAGTCGTTTAGTACCGCCACGGGGGGATTGTACAATTTGCACTACTAACTCGAGGTTACTGTCTGCCATTACCTCCAAATTTGACTGTACAGCATTGAATAGGGCCTCCTCAAAATCAGCTAGATTATCATCATTAGCATTCAAAATGGCGGACACATTAGCTTGAAGCTGCTCTCCCCGGAGTTCAATCTGAACAATATCTTCCCTCTCTGCCTGTGAAAAAGCATAATTTAACATATCCTGTACATTGTTCATCAGAACCCCATACTAGGATGTAAAGTCTGCTTCGTCGTTATTAGGAGGGGGTAGGATTAGAGACTGACGCAGTTCTGTGTTATGGAATACAGGTCGAGATAAAACACTTGGTGTAGCATTTCGGTTAGTGCCTCCTCCATGCTGTGACCGGGGGCCCGGTGATTCTGCAGCATTCGGGGTGTCATTCTGATCAACATGTCCGTTACTTTGCATGGAGCAAACTAGTGATTCTGAGTCACTTTGCACACTGGAAACTGGTGCTTCTGTAATGGTTGAAGCTATGCTATTTACGCCATTCAGATGGCTTACTCCGTCTGCGAGCTGATTTAAAAGCCCGAGACCTGGGTAAGTGTCAGCGCTTTGATAGTATGCCAATACCCATTCCAAAGCACTATCTAAGGCTGGGGGATGGCTTGAGTTTGTTTGTGATGAGATTGGAAGTTCTTCGTCGTTTAACTCATTGATATTGTCCGAACACTGAGGAAATGACATATCTCCATACACGAATTCCTCATCACTGCTTAGTTCATTTATGTCGTTTATAGACTGAAGAAAAGAAAATTATCTATCTGCTAAATCATCCATGTTTGACCGTTTATGAAACAAAAATCAGAAATACATTTGTCACAGCTGAAGAAACGTACCGGTCGGTTACATCGGCATCAATTTACACGAGACCCTCAGTAGGTGTGTCCATAAAGATGGCAGTAGCAGCAGTGTTGGTCACCTTGATAATAGCTTGACTGATCTATACAGAAAAAGATAGAGAAAAAGAAGGATAAGTATTTTGAAAAACACATGATTATACATTTAACACTATTCATTTATCAAACATCTTGTAAAATAAACATAAAACTCATTTACCGGGGTGATATCTCGTCAGGAGGGGATCTGTGACGAGTGATATACCGGCTTGGATCTCTCGAATATTCTGTGCTGATGGTTCACCCTCGACCCGAGGACTAGGGGGTGAGTCTGTCTGACTCGTTAGGAGTGTGTCTTGAACGGGGTGCAACTCAAAGTCGTCCAGATAGGCACTGAAAGTGTCAAAATCAGCCTGCAGTTCTGGTGGAATTTGTAGGAAGGTTTCAGATATAGGCTGCTGCTGCTGCGGGGTAGCGTTGAAAAGGGGGGTGTCTGTCTGGTTATCTGAGTCCCGGGGGAGGGCGACGGCTGGCCCCCAGGGGTCTGCAGTTACCTCAAAGGGTGGGTTGTGTATGAACTCCTCGGGGAAAAAGTTTTGATACACAGAGCCTCTGTCTGTGCTATAGACTTCGTCACCTTTAAAAACAAAAGAGTAAAAACCGTTATTCGGGATACTTTGCACATAAAAACCTTATTTGATTTCAAAATAAAAATACAATCAGTTTAAATATACTCACTTTCCACAGGGGGTGAATTAAGGTAGGCTCCAAGTACAGAGCATATTCGTTCCAATACTATTGGCCTTAGCTGACTCAGAGTATCCTGAGCTGAGAGACACAGAAAGATTTGATTATAATCCACACCATATTGCTCTATACTTTTCTAATTAAAAACATGTTTAAAAACATGTTTAAAAAGAAGTAAAAAGAAACTCACCTAGTATTTCAATAACACATTAGGATTTCCAGCACACAGGATCTCTAGGCAAGGCAAGGCAAGGCAAGGCAAGGCAAGTTTATTTATATAGCACTTTTCAACACAAGGCAATTCAAAGTGCTCTACTGCAAACAGAAGGACATAATGTTTTTTAAGTATCTAATAATATACTATATATATATATATATATATATATATATAAACAACATTTAATAAATACATGATATTATAAAATAAGTACTTACCACATTGGCTTGTGATGGCGTCCAGGTCAATAAAGCGCTGAGCTGGAATGGCAGGGTAATTCATCCCTTGTTTTTCTCTAACTGTAAATATTTTGTCGTCTTATATAGACCATCAAATAACAGAGCCTTGTCACCCCTCAAAAAGAAACTGACCAATCGATGAGTCCTTTTATCCAGGTAATTAGCTATGCGTCTTTCTGCCCCCCCAGAAATGACTATTTAAATGTACCCTCAGACTGTTGATTGAGTATTTTAAGTGTTTACAGCTTTTATTTTGTCAGCCACCCTGGAGCCGTCATGGAGTGAATAGGAAACACATTTAGAAAACATCTGTTTTATGGATACAGCAGAGTTCTGATATTACCACCTCATATGGGGTTTCCTTACAGTGGTGTAAAATAATGATTAAAAAAGACAATATCATGTTTTTAATTTGTTTTATTATTTCCGTCTTCAGAGAGACTTTTCTTATAGTTAATAAAAGGTAATTACACATTAGTTCACAAATCCATATACTAAAAGAGAATATCCTTAGGTATCACTAATAAAAAACTAAATAAGATCTTTTGAAAATAACCTCTTTGCAAAAACAGATACCTCTTTAGCAGTTTCACAAAAACTTGAAAAGAAAACATCCTTAGCCAGCACACACCATTTAAAAACAGACCCTGAATCAAATCTAGAGAGAATAATAACGTTTTAGATGTCTTGGTGAGTGAAAATTAATGGCTGTTTTTATTTAATTTGAGTTTATTTCTTTTTTTTAAACTAACTTCATTTCTCTCTTCTCCTCTTCTCCACAGAGAGTGTCTTAATTAACATAGGCATTTACACCCAGGCTATCTCAACCCCCCACATCTGGTTGTGTGTGTGTGTGTGTGTGTGTGTGTGTGTGTGTGTGTGTGTGTGTGTGTGTGTGTGTGTGTGTGTGTGTGTGTGGTGTGTGTGTGTGTGTGTGTGTGTGTGAATTGTTCTTTAAGGTAGGGGTTAGATAATTTGGAGAATTTGCAGTCAAACCGGGGAAAATCTGTCACTTCCTCACAGAGCCCCTCCTCCAACACACATGAACGCGCATGACCAAAAGAGGGCGCGAGATAAGTTTGTGCACAGACCCCCGCATTGCTGCTGCTGCATTCGTTTGACTGACGCTCTGGACGGATGCGGTAAGCTGACTGATTAACCCCCATTCGAGGCGTCTCTTGGCCATTTTTCTTTTTTTGAAAAGGTGGGTAAATGGAATTGCTGTCTTTTTATTTAGTTTGCGCATATTTCTAATTCCACCCCCCACTATCTGCCTGCGTCATAGCCCGGAAGGGGGGAGAGGCTAGGAGGGGGCTGGTAGACAGTCTCACCTAACTTCAAGAGACACCTAAATTAACATCAGAGGCTTACAACACACCGGTGTGAAGTCACACCGGCCTGTTATAACACCCCATAGATTAGACTTCATAATTATTTATACAACTCTGAGGGGGCAGGGGCCAGACAGCATAAAGAGATTTGATCAACACCTAAATTAACATCAGAGGCTTATAACACACCAGTGTGAAGTCACACCGGTCTGTTATAACACCTCCCGTCAAAGGACTAGACTTCATAATTAGATTATACAACTCTGAGGGAACAAGGGGCCAGACAACACAAAGAGACTTAATCAACACATCAAAGAATTAGACAACAAAAGCGCTAGCCCCGAGGGTTTTCACATGACACAAAAGGATCTCTAACAAAGGCACTACACAGGGGGCATTTCACACCTACGTGTGATGATACCTCACCCCTCACATCAAAGGATCTCACACCTACGTGTGAATTCACACCTAGGTGGGACATCCACCGCGAACAAAGGGAGGCGGGACTTAGCTCATTAACATAAGTAGGGAGAGGTGTGACCTGTCACACCACCTGTCACTTTTATTGCATACTAATGTGATTGAAAGGGCATGTGTATAACTACTCATGTTGTACCAAATGTTTGCAGTTTGGATACATTTGGTTATTTGCCTGTGAACAACTCGTATGGCGTTTTCTTTGTGCGCCTGCTGTAGCACCTGTTTCTTACAAAAGCTGCAGTCTGCATAGCGTAGTTCCATAGCTTGTCTGGTAACCCACTCTCTATCAATAAGCATCTGCTCATATCATAGAGAGTTCGCCAGCTTCTCTCTGCTGTACCATTTTGGTGTGGTGAATAGGGTGCAGACGTTTCATGTCTAATCCTGTTTTTAGTTGCCTGAAAGTCTCGGCTTGTAAACTCAGTGCCGTTGTCTGAACGAATACACTTGACTTCTCCATAAGGTGCTATGTCTGCCAAGAACCTTTCTGTGGCTTGCACTGTATCACTTTTATACTTACGTATACCATCACGGTGCCTGAATAGTCATCTGTAAATGACTGCATATCTGTGGCCTTCTCTGCTCAGTGTTGACATGGGACCAGTTAAATCAGTATGTACTAGCTCTAAGGGTTTCTCAGCCTTTCTGTCTGGCTCCCTATTTCTAGTGTGAATTTTCCTTGTGTTAGGGTTATTATGTTAGACAGCTATCATACTGAATACATATTTACTGTGAATGTGTGCAAAAATGTATGGCATATAGCTGTCTAACAGAAGTTAAATTCATTTCTCACTTATTCTGACAATGTACTTAACCCCAAATAAAAGAACCCAATAAAAAGAGTTGTTAAATAATAGTGAAGTCACGTTGTAATAACAATAACTCATCTCTCTCGAGTTTTCCTTTTGAGCTTTGCCAAAAGCCACTGTGTCAATGTTGTCCTACTTGGGTTGCCGTCCGGCGTTGTCCAATATGGCGGACCATCTCGCACATGCGCACTGCAGATCGGGCAGAGCTGCAGATCGGGTAGTGACAACTGTCACCTACTGTACATGTGTGAATCATCATATCATTCCATCTCTTAACTCATGGACGTATCTATGATCTAATCCAAAAATAAATAAATAAAAAACATAATAAATCAAACAAAACAACAATCTATGATCTTTCCTGACCTAATGTTAGATAATTTTACCTACCCCGGTTTCACTAAAGGTAAACAGTGCCTTGCTGGTAGCTCTTTCTCCCTCTCCTTTTGTTCCCAAAATACCAACCACACTCCATTCCCTCTCTGCCTCTAAAACGTTATCCTTTAGTTGTTCTCTTTCAGCTTTATAGATGTTCCACATTTTCTTTAACTCCACAGTTCCTACACTTGTCACTGTTACTTTTCCCCATGACATGCAGCGTACCATTCAATGCTGTGTGATTCATTCTGAGTCTAGCTATCATCATTTCCTCCCTTCTGTTTCTTTCTTTATAAATATGTGTCTGCTGGCATACCAGCAGACCAGCATTTATCTATCACCAGCTTATGTTAGTATTAAATATACAATGTATTCTGGTAACTATCAAAATAAAGACATTGTATAGTGTTCATAACAGTATTTTTATTTAATAAATTATACTTAATACAATAATATTACAAAAAAAAACCTACATCTAAATAAATATATCATCAAAAATAGATGCATTTGATTTAAAAATAACAAATATAATTCAAAATATAAACAGCAACAAAGAAATTATAAACATTTTTTTTCTTTTTCTTGTTAATATCCATTATCTTCTCTGTTATGTATCTTCCGGTCTTTGCCAATCTGGCCAGCATGTCTTGGTCCTCCACGTCTTTCTCGTACAGCCACTGCTTGAAGAAAACTGAAAATAAGAAACAACAATGTTTGAACAAATCGTATTAAATTATGTGATGATAGAACTGCAAACAGAATAGCTGTAACTTTAACAAAATAAATAACTCAGTTACCTCTAATCATTAACCCATGTTTGTATCATTGAGTTAACTCTGTGTGTTGCTGCTAGCATACATAATATATACCTGACGTGGAAACATTACTCGTGGATGGGGCTACAGAGCTACTAGAAAGACAGTCGAACCCGGTGCATTTCTCCGTCTGAATGTGGAGCACTTTTGCTAAATGTTTAGACAAATTGCTCGTGTTACCGCCCTTACATGCTAAATTCTTTTTGCACTATTGGCAACGAGCATTTTCCACCTCAAGACAAAGCCCCCAGGAAGTGTGCCGGACTCTGAGGAAAATATTCGTTGTGTCCAAACGGTGGTACTACAATTTCCTTATCAGTCTGTGACGTCGACCGGCCCAGAAATACTTTTTCCCATTGACTAACATGGGGAAAGAGACGTCTGTAAATCGGTGGATAATTTTTTTGAAACTAAATAAACTACCCAGTATGAACTATTGTATAGCCCTAGAATCATTAAGTCCTTAAAGTTGTAAAATGCACTAAAAGCCGGATCTAGATTTATTCTCTCTCTCCATTCATTCTAGTGAGCCGAGAGTGTGTGCTCGGGGGGCGGGGCTTAAAGATCAAATGCAAAGCTTCCAAATATGCTACATTTTTATAGAAATGTTGTTTTTACGACTGCCTGTATTTAAAAAAAAAAATTATTCGAGATAATACACCCGAAAAAAAAGCTTTTTATTGATACAAAACTTGACCCAAAGCCGTCTGAATTTCTGACATGACCTCCCCAGCAGCCTCCGCGCGCGTGACGTCATACATGCCAAACAGTCTCTGGACCAAACATCCCGACTCGGCAGTCTCGGTCACAAGTTTTTCGACAAGAAAACTGAATTAACATGGGTTATTGTTGTGCTTTTTGTTGTACGAACGGTGCGGGATCTGGGAGAGTTTTTCATGTATTTCCCAAAGACCAAATCATCCGCAAAAATGGATTTTGTTAGTGAATCGTGTTGGCTGGCAACCGACAAAATGGAGCAGGTTGTGTTCTGATCACTTCACGTGTGATGCATACGAGGTTGATCCTGCTATCATCAAGTCTGTTGGTGCAGAAGCATTAATAGCACGTCGGAGGCTGAAACCCGGAGCCGTCCCCTCCATATTTCAGCACAAGAAACCACTGAAAGAACGAAAGAGCCGGGCGATGCAGAAACGCCAAAGAATTGAGGTAAACAACTTTTGATTAGATTTCAAAGCGCACGGAGCACAGCAGATAACGGAATTGCAGTTTT